AATGGAAATAATGTTCACTCAAAAAGGAAGGGCAAACATATGAGCAAATAATTAGAATAAGTAAAGTTTTTCCTTTGTGTTCAAGAGAAGGAGTCGCATCCAAATCAGCTAACTTGAGCATGCCTTTCATGGAGTTGTGCTCCTGGCCACATAACCTTTATTGGCCAACGCATCGTCATCGTTCATCAGACTGCTCTTAAACGTCCATTGAATGATCTTTCCGATACGCACTACAGACCTTACCAGTTGTTACCACTATTTCTACACACCATCTACGATCTCGCTTTCGCTCACATAATACACCTAGGGATAAATGAACTCAGTAGGAATTTTCCATGTAGAGTTCAACTCCCAAAAATCAAGTTTCAGAGAGAAATCATTGTGATATTATCTCACCCACATAGACACAGTGGACCTCCCATTCAAAAGTCAATTATGTAATCGTTTACGTGCCTTTTCACCCTCATTCAAATGATAGCACAAAAGAATGGTGGGGACGTTTTTGTGACAGTTTCTTTTCCATCACCTTTTTTGTTATGCTTTTTCAAACATCCCATTGTTTCAAAGTTATCCAAAAATAAGCCATCGCAACGAATAAAAGGGACTGGGGAGGGCCACAGGTCAGCGCATCAATTCGATATGCTTCGTCTCGTTGTCTTTCTGAGCCTTCTAGCTTTTTCACTGGTATGTTTTTCGCTCATCATAGTTAGTTTATTCCCAACTACGTATAGTTCCATCAAGGAAGTTTATCTGACAGGAAAGTTTCTTTTAAAGTTTTTATTTAGGCATGTAAACCGTCGAATTCCTCGTCTTCGGCGTGCTCAGGGTCGTCGGGGTCATCAGGGAAAAATATAACCAAGCGCGTTTCCAACAAGCACACGTCCTTGTCGAGACCCAACTGAAATTCAACCCGACATTCAACCCAATCTTCGAGAGAGCATTCAAACAAGGAGTAAGAAATGTTGTAACCATAAAAAACACACACAGCGACTTCTCCTTTCACCTTCGCAGATCACTCAGGATCATTCAGTAGCGAAAGACATCGTGACGAAGCTACATTCAGGTTGAACAACATGCGCACAGACACGGAGTCCACTACGACCACAACCTGGTTTACGGAAAAACGGAGAGAATCGGTCACGAATTCGCAATGGGATACCGTATCTTCGATGCCGACTGTGATGAGGTGCACATTTTGGTATTGACGGATTGAGTCGCTTTCACAGTTGGAGGCGAGACTGATGCACTGTAGATGGCCGAGGGCAACGGCAGGCAGTGTCAAAGTTTTATTGCTTTGGAAAATTTCAAGTTCATCCGATGAGCGATAGGGCTATCGTTTGCCGGAGAACATCCACTTTGTTGATTAACACTGCACTTTAGTAGTCAAGTAGAGTAGTCAAGTTTGCAAAAACGGGGGGGGGGGGGGGGGGGGGGGGNGGGGGGGGGGGGGGGGGGAGGGGGGCAAAGATTCCTTGCAGTTCAATTTTCCTCCAATCCGGGCCACTACCTTACCAATTGATTTTTTTGTCATGATTGCTGCTCTTGACTGGGAAGAGTATTTCCCATTGCGCTAGTGCGCTAACGTTGTGCATTTCTGGAGTAACTTTCGACTATAAATTCGTTCTAACCTAGTGCGGATGGGACAGGAATTATAGAACTCTTTACAGCTTAAAAAGTTCATCTCGAAGGGAAAGAAGCAGACGGACCTTGTCGGAACCGTTTTTGCAATGTGCGACGGTAAACTGATGGTTCTATAAAATTCCATTGTGACTTATGGAGCAGAATAAATCTTTGTCATGGAGTTTATGTGGACTATTTTCTAAAAGAACCCTAGCGAGAAGAGTCATCAAAGTGCTATGCGTTCGGTCGTTGTGTCGTGAGACGCCACACATCCGCTCTCAACTCGTAAAATCTAGATTTAGCGGTCGATATGTGTAAATTCAAGAAGCTGCTGTAGCTACGACGGTGATACTTCTCTTACTATCATCATACAAACAAGCTTGGAAGCTACTCAGCACAAGCCACGCATCCAACCTTGCGCTTTAGCTGTACTAACAGCGGGGCGTTGGTGCTCCTTGAGAGGATTGGAAATAGTTGATGATTTTTGCCACAACTCAGTAAATATAATTGGAGATCGTGGAATTCGGAATTACCGTTCTGCTTTCTCGAATACTGTAGCTCCAAACCCTATGAAGCTTTTGAGTTCTGTATACCAGAACTCTTCGTTTCCGGAAACCTTAGGTGCAGCTACAGCTACATACCTCAAATCCGGAGCACACCCAAACGAAAACATATATTGGCGAAAGGCAGATAAGCAAGAGAGAAGAGGCTCATGAGTGTGTCTTTGAGTTGCTATATAACATATCCACAAAACTTTAGGATCCGTCTTGTATGAGGGCACAACTGCTTGACTTTATGAAATCCATGGCACTTACCTTTCGATGGAAATGTGATCCTAGAAAACTTCCAATTGGAGCCAGTGTGACTGCAACAGGAATGGTGATCTTAATGTAGTTAAGTGCCAGCTCTGATACCCCATCTTCCCATACAACACGATAGTATACACCAATTATCGAATTCAGCCCTAGAATGCAAAGGTAAGAGGTACGTGGATTTGTAGATAAGAGGTTTTAGCGAAATTTTGAGTAACATGGTGTCGTGCATACTGCGTTCCGAGGTTCCGGAACCTGAGAAGCGTTTCTATGTTCCTACTGAGCAGGATCGCAGATAAGCGGTAGCGGGCAATCGGTCGGAACAATTATGTAGTATATGATCACTCACCCATTAGTACGATTGTCGTCGGTGTTGCAATTTTTTCAGAAACCCGAAAAAGCAGTGTGATGATCGAAAATATGCAAATGTCAACTCCTGAGCCGGTGAATGCTGTGAAAATTCCTGAAATATCGGCTGATCGTGCTGAACCGCTGCTCATAAGTAGGGAATGCTAATCAAACCTATGAAAACTCCAGAGCCAGACTTTCATGAAAAACTCTCATTCTACCGACACATATCTATCAGAATATTTGCCTGATATATAATAGTAACCCTCCTAAGTGAGCACATATTGGGTTTTTTGCATGATATCCACTTGGGAACAGAACTACAGTACAGTACTTGCAATGGTACTGGGATTTGCTTGGCTGTAGCATGCCCCACTCATTTCTTGCAACGCTTATATTTGTGCACTTTCCTGTCAGTTATGGAAACAACTCGAAATCAAGCGATTCGTTTACACTCAAAACTCCACCCATTACACTGTACGCTCCTCGGGTAACGAAACTTTTCCCCGAATTCCCACGGCCTGCGGCAGTGGTTCCGCGGCGACTCTTCGTATCCTTCCATTGGGAATTCAAATCTTTTCCCTTCATTGCGCGCGATCGCCGCGGCGAGCGCGACACGCCGTTCGGGAAGAAGGTGCCAGATCCACGCTTCTCCCATCAAAAATGGTATCTTTTATCCTAACGCGTTTCATTCTACGTTGTTGAAATTCTTGTGCCGTTCGAGCTTTTTAGACAGAGTAGCAACTATCTGAACGGATAAAAAAACATCTAGCTAGTATGAGGTGCGGAAACCTTTTGACAGTGCTCGATCGACATAAAGTTGAGGAACACAACGGTGACGATTTTAAAGTGAAATGCACGATATTAGCGCACAGGACGGAAGTTCCAGCAAAAAAGACATTAGAGGCGTTCTGGATTTTGCTAAAGAACCCCAAGATGAACAACAGAGATGAGTGTCCGTCTATGTGCGGTAACCCTTTGCCATACTTATCGCTCCGCGAGCTATGACTCGTGGTCAGTAGCATCGTAATGTGATCTTTCTTATCATAGGTGCAAGGGAGGCACAATGGAGTCTTATCCACTACTGACAGTCTCCTGCGGCGACACGGATTCCATCCGCTTTAACGGTGTAGCCTGGTGAGTATTTCATGAAGTGGGTAATTCTCCGATGAGTTTCGGTCGTTGTTTCGCAGGAGAAACACTGTTGGATGTTCTAAACCGCCTCAGAATTGCATTTCAAGCTTCCGAAGATTACGTCGAAATGTTAGGTTGTCAATTTTGATTAAATTTTCTACCCAAAACCTCGAACGCCAAAAGAGCTATAACAACATAAACGAAAATGCCGAGTTCAAAGTAAGAGTTGTAAGCTATTCATTCACTTTTTCTAGGTTGTTATGGAACCAATATACAGGGTGACCCATATGAAGTGTGACGCAGAAAACTAGCATCAAAATTCTACAGATCAAACCAAATAGGAAACTATTACTCCTACACAGTCGTCACAAAATTGTAAACAACATATCAAATCTCGCATTCAGAATGGCCATCCTTCGCTTTAATGCAAACATCCAACCTCATTCGGACGTTTTCAAGAATGCGCGCAATCGCTTTCATCCCACGCTTCTACAAGGAAACTTTCTTTCAGAGGTGTTAAGATCTGTGTTTGGAAGCGCAGGCTTTTTGCTCCAGAATCGACCATACAGCAAAATCCAAAGAGTATCGGGGAATTTGCATGTCTAACCTGCTTCGTACAAAAACCCGGAAGCGTGGTTTCACAACATCGCAGCATCTTCTTTGCGCTGTGAACTGGTGCCCAGTTCTGGTTCACCTGACGTTCATCGCGCGTTCCTTTCCGCCCAAGCGATCACCGTTTCTTCCAGCCGAGAAGCCCATAAGTTGATTTTTTTTAGTGCCCGTCACACTCCATGTGGGTCACTCTGTATGGTTTTCTGGTGGGCCATGCTTTACTCTACCTACTCGCGACATCATCACACTCAGAAGGTGGGTTCTCTGGATTTGTCGAGAATCGTGACAAACGCATAAACGGATAAGCTGAGAAACCCAAGAATTAGAGACAGTCAACGACAAACAGACGTGTTTTTGACTTTAAAGTCAGAAGTTTAAAATCAGTGGTATAAATATTATACGTACCTCCTATAAATCCAGTACAAGACAAAGCAACGGCTTTCCATGGTTTGAATTCCGGGATCACATAATAGGTCTTTCGTTTTTTCTCGGCATTCAACAAATAAAGAGCAACAGCAAACGAAGACCATATTGAGACGAATAGCATTTTCTTTTGAGGCCCGGTGAACAACGGATCAACCTAAAAAATGGAGAGCATGCAAATTACAACAATCTAGTTCTAACTCTAAATTGGAGAAACTCTATTCAGTGCCATTTTCCGAGCACATTGAGTTGAGGCGGATCATTCCGCCGCGCGCGGTTGCGTAGCGGCTGATTCGACGAGCCGCCATATACTCTTCGCGAGAGATCGGTTCTAACATATCGAATGCACTGCGTGCGGGAGCCGAGAAGATTCGCCATCCGCAACTATCGAAGGGGTAAGGACACCTCTTAAAAAAGCTCACTTACCACAAGAGATCCGAAGATAAATCCTGGTACAGAACCCATCATGCCAAAGACGACGGCTCGTTTTTCAATTTGAACACCCATGAATACGATTACAAAAAGGGCACATGTCATACCTAAACAAACAAGTTTTGAAGTTAAAAAAAGCATGAACAACGGTAGATCTGCGTTCCCTTTGCCTGATAAACTTTATCAGTCGGACGGTGATGGACGGTAATGAAACCGCTATTTCCTTCTAACTTGAGGTAATTTTCAGAAATATCGAACGCAAAGGGTCCAGTATCTTCTCCTTGGAAAAGGAGTCGCGTTCGCCTCACCTGATCGCGCGCAGTTGTTCGCTTTGACGGGGAAGGTTTGAATTCCCACTGCAAGGATGGAGTAGCCGCCGCGTGACCTTCATCGCTTGCCGTGGGAATTCGGGGAGAAGTTCCGGCACCCGAATGGCTGCTTTCATAGTCCGCCGGC